TCTGCGCTGGATACCCCAACTCAGCTCCCACACAATCCACTGAGCCACCTCAGCCCCAGGGCTCCCTGTGGTCTCCATGGTACAGCCCACCAAGAGTGCGCTGAGCCCCAGCCCCTCCACCAGTCGTGTCTACACGCTCGCTGTGAACACGCCTCTGTCCGCTTGCACTTGGATGTGTATACGTGCTCTGTGACTGTGGATGGCTGTGCACAGTGCATGCATGCCTATGCGTTTCTACGCGACTGCCAGGCCTGTGTGCCTGGACAGTACCCACTGGGTGGTGCCCAGTGGGCTGGCACGACATCTGAGTGCTGTGCCTCTCATTTGCTGTGTGCTTTCGAAGCGGGCATTCCCCTCTTGGGATTTTTTTTTTTTTTGGTCTTGTTTTTCTGCCTGTGAAATGAACTCTTAAGACTCTCTTTTGATGTAAGAGTCCCTCGCACACAGGGACTGGGTTAATGCAGTTGGGGAAGGGGACTGGCAGAGTCCTTAGCCACCCTGCTCCCTTTGCACAAGTCCGCACACCAGAATAACCCTCTCCCTTGGGTTCACTGGTGGAGGAAAGGAGAGGTAAGGAATCCAGAGACAACGAAGATGGACAGGGCAGTATTCCGTGATTTCAGATGGGACAGATGATCTTGACCTTGAACCCACTGGGCTGCCCAGCTTAAAGGACCCAGGCTGTACTGAGCCACGTGGGACGCCTGTTGGGTGGCCTCCTTGCCCTTCGCTGTCCACCACACACAGGAAAAGCTAGGTGACCGCTGGAAGAGCTAAAGAAGTAGCAGCATTTACCTTCCTGCAGGGGCAGAGTCTGGCCAGGGCCCCTTGGTTCCTGCCAGGAGGCAGACTGAAGCTCCTGCGGTGAAGTCCCGCTGGGCTTTTGGAGGGAATGGGGGTGGGGTGGACCTTGAGACGTGGTGGTGCGGGCTGGAAGTCCCTGCCATAGATAACAGGCAAAATTGTGTTGACCAGAAAGGAGGCAGGCTGTCGGGAGAGTCCTCCATTGAGTGCTAGGCAGCCCTGCTATAGGAGACCTAAGATCTGCCCCAACATTGGGCACACACACACACACACACCCCAAGCAACAGCTGCTGGGACCCCAATGCCCAAAGGACACACTTCTTCCACCTCCCAGCCTCAATCAATACAAGTGGATATCACACACATGTACTCCAGTGCACCCACAGACACACCAGCATGCAGACACATGCCAAACAGCCTCACGCACTCAGCCAAGTCCTCGGCCTTCCGCTTCTCCCCACCTCCTTTCATCCCATCCACAGTCCTCTCCCTCCACCCCCTACTCAAGGAAAGGGACTTTCCAGCTAGGAAAGAGAGACCTCTGCCCTCAGAAGGAGCCAGAGATCAATACTGTTTAGACTCAGCTAGCATGCATTTCCTCCTAGGCTGCACAAGATTTAAGTTTATGATTCAATCCGATTTAAAAAAAAAAAATAGAAGAGGAAAGGCCAAAATGAGGATGTTGGGATGGTGTGTTCAAGTATTTATTTCCACTCAGTCCCAGACTTTAAGATGCAGGTGGCTCGCTCTGCCAACCCCATAAATCCGAGAAATCGATGCCCATTTATGATCATTATTATGTTTCCTTCCCGCCCCCACCCCACAGTAGGGGTGTAAGTAAAAGGTCTGGCCAGAAACCTTTTTCTTGCTGCTCCTGTGACCCAACCAGGAAGCAGAAAGATGGGAGAGAAGATGGGAAAGTCACTGAGCCTTGGGGTGGATGTAACATAAAAACACACAGCCACAAAGGAGGCACGAACAAAACACGTGCGTGCGTGCTCAGAGCTTGGGTCTCTCCCGCGGAACAATGAAGAAAATTCTGTTTGCCCACAGTGGTCCAAAGAGAAAAGGAGATAATGGGCAAGAAATCAAATTACATACTAATGACACTCCCTTCCCTACACTCTATTACTACAGCCCTGGGGAGGGGGCAGCACCCCATCTCCCGTGCTGCTGAGGCAGGAGGCAGAGAGCTCCTGGAAAAATGGGGGTGAGCTTGAAGAAAGGGTGCTGCTTCCTCATCCTGGCCTGGGTTCCAGCCTCTGGGCCTGGTGGTCTCATGGGGGCTTGAGTATCCTCAGGGGCCATGGGGGTAAAGGAGAGAAAGGAGAATGTCTCGGACATTCAAAATAGTAAGGTTGCCTGTAAGAACTAAGTGATCCCCAACATCCCGGCCAGATGTGCTGAGAAAAGAGAGAGAGGGAGGGGAGAGAGTGAGAGAGGCAGGATTCTTCCCAAAGTTCTGAGCGCTCACGAATTAGAGGGAGTATCCTTGAGCACCAGGCCCCAGCTTCCCTAACCTGGCAGGGCTGCAAGGCTCCAAGTTCCACTTCCCTTGGTCGGTGAGCATGTCTAACCACCAGAAAACCATTCATAGTCGCTGCCTCCAACTGTTCACATAGGGCTTGGCTGAGCACCTACTATATGCAGGGGTTGCTCCAGGCACCCCAAGAAAAACAAAGAGAAATAGGAGGAAGACAGAGTAATAAAGTTAAGGATGCAAAGTGAAGCCAAATACACCCGCCAACTCCACTCCAGCCCTTTGAACCGAACCCAAGCTCCCAAACACCGAACTAGTTACTGGAAAGGATCCCTGGTTTCCCTAGGCTTGGGGCCTAGCACTGTTGCTTCCCTGGCCAGAGGGGGAGAAAAAAAAAAAAGCGCAAATAAAAGAAATAAAGAAATAAAGGAAATGATTGGCCATTCCAATTGCTCCCAAAAGCAATTCTGCAAAAACAACAGGGAAGAATCCCTAGGGACAAGTGGAAAGAAGAAGGGATCCTGGGAAGGGGAGACCCTGCACACACACACACACACACACACACGTGTAAATACACATGATCACATGTCCATCCACCATGAGCCCACAAACATCCAAGTGTGCGTTGAGTGATGGAAGCACAAACGCCTAGCTGCACCACACACACACACTCCCATGGCAGCAGTGTAGTTGCATCGCAATCTGCATTGTTCTTCATGCACAAATGTGAGTGGACACCTACCCCGTTGGCTGCATTAGCGACCCACATACAGGGGCATCCATGCTTATTGCAGGAGAAACAAAAAGGGGGAGAGAAGAATTGATAATTTGTTTTCTAAACATCTTGGAACAAAGGGGTGCTGGTACCTCTTGAGGAGCAACCTCCCTCCTCTGCTCCTGGCTCCCCACCTCCTAGGGGGCTAAGTGCCCGCACAGCAACCACCGCCAACCTGCCTGGGGTTCTGGACAGTCCACACCACTTTTCCCTGCGGTGGGGGAATCGGATGTGCGGCTGCAGAGCGGGGGAGTGGGGGCAAAGGAGGTTGGAGGGGGAGCTTGTGTGTACCCCCCGCTGAGTGAGAAGGCAAGCCAGGCTTGCTGGGAATGAAGTGGAGGCTTTTCTTTGATTTAGGATTAGGAGGAAGGTGAAAGGCAGGTTCGCATCCATCTAGAGTTCGGGACCTAGAGCGATCCCGGTTCAGGGACCCAGCGGCCTCTGTTCCACTAGGCTTAGTGTTCAGGCCTCTGCCCCGGCTTAGCAGAACCCTGGGAGCCAAGTTCTGCGAGGCTATGCATGCGCGCGGCACACACACACACACACACACACACACACACACACACACACACACAACTTCCTCCCTACAAGCACAAGTCGTCCACCTCAATTCCCCAGGCCAAACAACAGTGACTTCAGGGCAGCGCAAAATTCTCGGCCCTGACAGTAGCCCCCCATCCCCCGGCCGTCTGGCCGTGCCCTGTTCTTGGAAGGCCTTTTGCCTCTGAGGAGGAAACAGCCGCCTGCCAAACCCTCCCGGGGAAAGTGGGTAGGAAGCAGAAGAGGAAGGAGGAACGAATGGCAGCGGCGTGCGGGGCTGCGGGGCAGGTTGCAAGCGCGGAGGCCGTAGCCGGGCTAGGCCTGGCTGAACCCCCGCAAGTTTTCCGCAGCCAGGACTGGGCCTCCGGTACCTTCGGATGCGATCGGAGACCAGGCGTGTCCCGAGGGACCTTCTAGATTGGAGTCTGGGACACCACTGCCTCTGCACTCCGCAGCTGCCCCGTGCGTTCGTTGCGTTGGGGAACCGAAAGGCCCGCGCCCTGGGCGCGCGCAGAGGCCGCGGAGTGCCCGAACCCGTGGCCGCAGAGAGCGAGGGCCGGTGCCGCTGGTGAACACAGTGTACACTTTTATTTCAGACTACATGTTTCTGAACATAATAAAATCTTTGGCTTGTAGCGGCGGTTCAGTCTCACAGTCTGGGTGGGGTGGGGTAGGGGATGTTGGGGGGGCGGGGAGGTGGTCGTATTTCTCAAGGAAGTCTCCGGAAAAGGAAAGGGGAGCAGGACAGAGAGAGACCAACAAAGGTCCTTTTAGGAGGAGGAGAGAGGAGAGGCGCAGGGCAGACACGCGAGGAAACGCACTCTCACGCACACAAAGCAAAGTCCCAGAGACACGAGGGCCAGCGATGCGGGGCGGGAGGCACCGGAGAAGCAATTAACTCTTGGAAGAAAAAAACAAAAACAGACAAACGAAATCGAAACTGGGTGTGTGATAGGGGCGGTGGATGGAGTAGGGGATGGGCAGCGAGGTGGAGGAGGAGGGGGCGGGAAGGGAAAAATAATTATAATAATTATAATAATTATAACAATAATAATAAAGGAGATTAATAAAAATGTCCAGCAAATAGAGATCGCTACACATATTTTTGTTTTCCTTACCTGAAATTAAATATATACAAGGTCGTAAGCGGTTTGGCTAATAGAGCTTTAAAGAATTTCGCAGTTCCGTCCCTTAACGCTGTGAATCTAGAATACATCTGATTTCCAAAGCACCTGTCTTTTTTTTTTTTTTTTTCCCTCGTCTCCGACGGAGCTTCGTTTTAAGTCGCGGCTGCGGGTGCACAAGGCCCTGCTCCATCCGCCTCTTGCTCCGGTCCCCGGTGCGCGCCGACCACGTCTCCCACCCCACCCGGCGCAGGCTCGGCGGGCGGCCGGCCCGCGGCTACTCGCTCTCGTCTTTGTCCTGGACGGTGGTGGTGGAGTGGTTGTACAGTCCCTGGGCCATGAGGTGCAGCGCCAGGCCGTTCTTGATGCCGGTGGCTTTCTTGATCTTGGCGCGCTTGTTCTGGAACCAGATTTTGATCTGGGACTCGTTGAGGCTGAGCTCCTGGGCCAGCGTCTGCCGCCGCTGCTCGGTGATGTAGCGGTTCGCCTGGAACTCCGCCTTGAGTCTCTGCAGCTGCTCGGCCGTGAACGCCGTCCGCGGCCGCTTGTCCTCCTTCTCGTTCTTCTTCTTCTTCAGCTTCCTGGTGCGCGGACCTGCGGGGGCGACGGACAGGGCCGGGAGGGTGGGGGTGGGGAGGGTGGAGTGGGGACGGAGGGCGGGCGGGGAAGTGGAGGAGGAGGAGAGGGGAGAGGAAGCCGTGAGAATGGCCGAGCCGAGACGTGGTGGGGGACCGCGTCGCCCCGCGCCTCCGAGGCCACCGCCGCCCAGTCCCGGGCACGGGCGAGCTTCGCTTCTGGGGCAACGCCGAGGAAAACTGGCGGAGGCCCCGGTGCACCTCAAGCTCCACTACAGAACCAGAGTGCCAGGGAAGAAGACCGACTTTTTAAACCGTGGCACGTCCGGCCAAGAAGGCGGGACTCCCAAGATGTGGAGCTGTGAGCAGGCCCATCCGGCCCAGCCCCAGAGCCGTGGGTGGCAGGCCTGCTGTCCTCCATTCCCGCAGCCCTGGAACAAAATGCACTACCTACACCCGTGTGCCTGACCCCCTCTGCCAGTGACTACTGACCCCGGAATACAAGCCGCAGGAGGCAGCCTAAACGAGGTTGCACAGCTCCAAGGCCTTCCCGCCTGCTCTCCCCCCACCCCATCTTCTCTCTCCTCCGCCTGGAGGGAGGGAGCCCTTTGCAGTGATCTCGCTACTCCAAACGGGGGGGGGGGGAGAGAAATGTCGCTTGCCCCACTCCAGGCCTTATCCCATGACCCTGACCCCTGGGATGTTTTATCGCTTGCCTGGTGCCAGTGAGAAAGAGAGAGGGGCCATGGTCATTCAACCACCCAGCGGCCCTAGCAGGGTCTGTCATATCTCTCCTTTGAAATGTGCACCCTGCCTTGTCAGCTCTCCCGCCCCCCAACCCACAAGGCAGAACTCCTTGCTTAAGAAAAACCAGCCTGATCGGTCTTTCTCAGTCCTGGGTATTCCCTTCTCCAATCCAAGGGCCAAGAGAGAGAGCCCTCCCCCACCCCAGGCTCATGAGGATCTCTAGGGAGATGTGTATGCTTTGCCTGGAAGACAGACATAGGAAGAGACCAAGGGGGGAGAGAATTGTTGTGGGGCTCAGAGAAGAGGGGAGACGGGGCTGAAGCAAAGAGGGTGGACACATATCCACGCCCCCGGCCAGGGTCTGCACCTGTAGCCCTGCCCATCAGCTCCCAAGTGGGCTTGCATTTCCCTGCCGCACTCGGGCTTGGTTATGGGAGCTCAGGGAGCTAAGGCCTGTTCATCTCCCAAACTGGCAACAGAGTGGTTGCAAGCACCTCCAGCAACCCAGGGGCAGGCAGGCCAGCTAGCTCTAGGGGACAGGCCAGGGCCTGAGGCCACCAGCTGCCCTGTGACAAAGAGTCCAACAAGACCACAGCCACTCAGATCTGGATGGAGAATGGTCCTCCTTGGGACTGCCTATGTGGGGGGAGGAAGGAGGTAGCCTCTGCTTCTCCGGATCCAAAGAAGGAGAGCCACCAAGAACAAAGACAAGGCCCACTGCGCGTTAGAGATGGGCTGTACGTCAGTCATCGGCCGGAAAAGGTGTACCCCCACAGGAAGGCCCCACTGGCGCCTGGTGCTTCTGGGATGTGTTGGAGTGCGGGCCTGTGTGCAAACGCAAGCGCGGGTGCGAGCGGACACTTGTAATAAAATTGTAGCCTCCTGGCCAGCCCGAACCTGACAACTCAATCACTCTATCCATCAGTCGAGTCAATCAAAGCAGCTTTTCGGAGATTCAGGGAGCCCGGCGTGTCAATAACGGGGCTCGAGATGGCGGGGGCTGATAGCGCGCATCGATCCGCTCGCGCGGGGCCAGCAGGAGGAGGAATGCCAGAAGCCGGACAGGGAAACTGCCGCCCCGGCTTGGTGGCTTGGTCCCGAGGCACCCCGAGCAGATTCTGGACCCAAGATCCAGCTTCCGTCCCATCAGGGCCCCTCCCCTCACTGGTTTCACAGGCAGCACCGGAGCCCTGAACACGGGTAGGCCTCGGAGGCCTCCTCTCGCAGAGCCCAGCGGCTAGGCTCGCCCAGGGTAGTTCTGGGCCTCAGCTTCTGCAGGCACTAGGGATACACACGGAGGAAAGAGGAGGAAAAAAACAAACAAAAAACCCCACAAAACCTCTGTCTTAGCCAGGCAGAAATCTGCTTAAGTGGCAGTCGCGCGGGAGGGAGGCAGAGAAAGAAAAAAGCGCAGGGCGGGTAGGGTGTGAGAGGGCGCGCCACGGAGCAGCCGTGGAGGAAGCTGCTACCTTTCCTGCCCGGCTTCGGCTTTGGAGGCCTGAGCCTGTCCTATTTTGCTGTCCTCTTTCGCAGTCCCTCAGCTCCAGAAAACCAAGGGCCAGGACAGCCACTTTTCTGGCGGCTGCCTGGCTCCTGTTTCAATCCATCCGGGTTGACAGACTCCTATGCTACCCGCCCAGGGGAGAAGCCCTTCAGAGCCGTTCCCTCCCTCTCTTTCTTCCCCACTGCGTTCCCGTAATCTGACTCGGTACAAACCAAGTCTGCGCAGAAACCGGGCTTACGCGTAGCCACATGCGACAAGTCTGATGGCTCCGCTCGGCTTGAAAGCAGAACCCGGAGCGCTAGGCCCATCTTCCCACCCGCTCTCAATACTCCTTTCCCTGGGAGAAAAAGCAACGACTAAGTGCCCATCGTGTCCAAAGATTAAGAAAGGTAAAGGAGTTGCCAGGGCTCAAAGCTCGAAACTGCAGAATCCAGGCTCCAGTTGGCCACACGCGCGCGGGTGGCCTCTCTCTGTAAGCCCTCGCCCTAATCTGCCACACCGGGGACCTAAAACAAGGAAGCCGCCGGGCGGGTTTGCTCTCCCCAGCGCCGCGCAGCTCCTGGGTTAGAGTACTCACCCGAAGAGGGACGATCCGAGTATCGTGTGCAGTAGACCCAGGCGGGCCAGACGAGGGGCTGCTGAGAGTCAGTTTTGACCACGGGTCCGCCGTTGGCCGAGCCCATGAGTAGGATGGCCGGGTTGCCGTGCTCTGGGTACTTGGCGCCCTGTGCGCCGGGGCTCCCCGTGCCGCCTCCACTGCCGCCGCCGCCGCCGCCGCCGCTGCTGTCCGAAGGCTTGGCCGCTGCCGCGGCTGCCGCCGCCGCTGCCGCCACGGCCGCTGCAGCCGCTGCAGCCGCCGCTGCCGCCGGGTTCCCAGCTTTGGACGCGCCCGCGGCGGGCTGGGAGCCGTCGGGTGGGCCACAGTTCGCATCCGGGGCGCACAGGAGCGAGGCAGCAGCCGGCGCTCGCGTGCCCAACGGGTGAACAGGGTCTCTACCTGCGGCGGTCTGGCCTCTGTCACGCTCCACCCGGCCTCCTCCTCCTCCTCCTGCGCCTCCTCCTCCTCCTCCTCCAACTCCTGCGCCTCCTCCGGCCGCCGCCGCAGCCGCCGCAGCAGCCGCCGCCACCAGGAGCTGCGGTGGCGGCGGCTCCTTTTTACAGCCGAAATCGGGCCTTAGGATGTTGTCGATGAAAAAGTTGGTGGTGCGATGCAGCTGGGCCGCGGGCTGCGGCTGCAGAGCAGGCGCCGCAAGAGGCTGCGGGGGCGGCGGGGGCGGGGGGAGGTGCGGGTGGTGGGCCAGGGGCGGCAGGCAGGGCGCGGCGGGCGGCGAGGGGGGCGCGGGCTGCGGGGACACCGGCACGCTGTCTCCATCGCTGCCGCTGCTGCCGCTGGCTCCGGGACTGAGGCTCAGGCCGAGGCCGCCCGGGGCCGCCGGCGCCGCCGCCGCTGCTGCTGCTGCGCCGAGGCCCGAGTCGCGCTGACTTTTAGGTTCCGGCTGCTGCTCTTCCATGCTCGGCAGCCCCGCAGCCCCGGCCGCCGCGCCGGCCCCCGCCCCCCGCGCCTCGCTCCCCACCCCACTTTGCCAGCGGCCCGTGGGGGTGCGCGGAGGAAGGAGACAGGCGAAGCCCCGGCGAAGGCACGGGGCGGATGCAAAGGGTGGAAGGGGAAAAAAAAAAATTAAAAAAAAAAAAAAAGAAAGAAAAACCGGCGTCTGGCGTGGATAGCTGGTTCGTATCGAGCAGCAAGGTCTCGCTGTCTCTCCGTCTCTCTAATTTGTAGACATCCAGATACGGAGGTACTTGGCTAGTTCTCTTTCTTTTCTGCAACCGGATTCAATGGTTTGTTTTAAATGGAGAGTAAGCCACGGCTCTCCAAAAGGGAAAATGCCAAAAAGGAAAAAAAAAAATAGAAAGGAAAAACGAAGGCAAGAAAGAAGAAAGCAAAAAAAAAAGACTCCGAGATTTTTTTTTTTCTTAAAGGGAAAAAATAGTCTTTAAAGTCTAGCCATCTTCCTAGGCAGAAGTGAGGGCTTTGACGTTCCCAAGTGTCACGCTCAGCTGTGCCCAGAGCGCGGGGCTGGCAGCGCCTTTAATCGCCTTTGCTTTTTTTGCAGGGAGAAGCGCGTCTCCGCCAGCACCCGGCTGCCTTTTTTTTTTTTTTTTTTTTTTTTTTTCAAATCTCTGACAGCTCGGATCTTTGCACAAACTCTCTGGCTTAAAAAAAAAAAAATCACCCAGGCACACTTTTTGCCTTCAAACCGGAAGCACGTGAGTCAGGGCCGCACGTGTGCGGGGCCAATGGCGAGCCGGGACTCGCGCTGACACTCGGGGCTCGGCCCAATGGGCGCGAGCGGGACTTTGCGGATAAATAATCCGGGGGCGGCGGCCGGCGGGCGGAGTGGGGGCGCCGCGGCGCGAACCCGGGGCGTCCCACCGCCCTCCCTTCCCTGCGCGCGCCCCTCCCCCCATAAACCGGGACCCAGCGGCGGGGGAGGGGGCGGCATGCAAAAGACTCGCCTGTCCTTGGAGGGGTGGGTTTCGGGGTGTAGGCAATGGAGAAGCCACTCCATAAACAACTTGTTGGCGACAGGCAGGATTGGGGGGTGCGCGCGCGCTGAGCGCAGGGTCGGGAGGTAGGGACTGATTTCTCCCGCAGCTCTCTCTTATGAAGGAGAGGGTTGTTAGCGCTGCCTCGCGCGCGTGTGTGTGTGTCTTTGCAGGGGTAGGTTAGTGGTGTGACATTGACCTAGACTTGGTTACTCTCACAAGTGCAGTGCGCTTCCCCCCGCGCCCCCTGGAGAGCTAACCCGGGAGGGAGGCCTGCCGAGCCGCGCCAGCACCGCCGCCCGTCTGGAAGTCTCTCGCGGCGGTCTGCGCTGCGCGTCGCTCCTGACCGATCTTCGCCCGGCGCCCTTCCCGACGCGACCTCCGTCGACACCCGCGGTGGAGCCAGGCCCAGAGCGCGCGCCCAAGACTCCCGGTGCCGGAGGTCTATTTCTTCCCTTGGCCACGGGAGTCGGGGCTGCGCTGCCCCAGGAGGACCCCTGGGCCAGCCAAGTCAGGACACGCTCACGCACGAATGCGAGCGTTTTCAGGGCTACCTCCTTGTGTTGACTTTCTCTGCCAAGTAAAATCAGACGACCAACTCCGGTTTCGCATCCAGAACGTTTGGCCCGGCCGGCTGGCGGCGAGGCGTAGCTCACGGTGGTGGAATAATCAGATTTCCTGCGAAGGGTCCTGACATCCTAGCTGCTTCCAGTTTGAGCGTTCTCCTCCAGCTTTGGGGTGATGGAGGCGGGGGACAGATATCTGTGCCATTGCTATGCTTGTCTTCGGAGTGCCAGCTCTCTTTTCTGTTTTTCTGCTCGAGGCAAGATATCCCAAATTTCCCCCGTAGACTAGGATGGATGGATGCATCGGGCACAACGAAGGGCTGTGCACTTAATTCTGCATAACCGTCCTGGAGGGCCCTAGGGCCCTACCGTCCTACCGTCCACCCAAGCTTGTGGTGCTGGAGCCAGACTCCCTGGGCAGCGAGGCCTTCTCAGGGATATCATTTTAGCGCGTTTGCTCCGGAGAACCCGCCAGCCCTGGCCACCAGCCTACACAGGGTAGGGGTGCTGGGGAGCAGAGAAATGGATCCTTTCTGAGACACTACCTTCTTCTGAAACACATGCACATTAGTCTCCCTCTAACCCCCAGCCGTCCCCCCAAAAACGTGACAAGTAATTGAGTGAGGAGAAACACACCACTCAATACAGCAAGCCCTACTGTGGCAGCAGCTGAAGTTTCTCCGGGGGGGGGGGACTGCTGGTGGCAGTTGCACCCTGGGTCAAACCGAGGGTCCCTGGTCTCCAATAGTGTCCCAGGGCTGAGACACTGTCCCCCGCACACGTGCTGGCTGTGGACAGAGATCCTTGTGTGGAGCCCTGCGCTGGATGGGCCGGCCCCTTGGCTCTTCCGCCTTTCCAAGTCATCTCCAACCCCACCTGGGAATCTCCCGGATCTTCTGTTTCACACCCAGGGGGTCCCCCCAAACATCCAAGTGCCTCTACTGTTTCCCCTCCACAGTCCCCAAATAGGGGTGTGGGTGGGATTTTATTTATATTTAAGTTCGCAAAAAAAATTGAAATCTTTATCCCGCAAGCGAGTGTGGGTACTTAATTAAATTCTAATTAGGACACTATCAATATCCTATTTAGCCGCGTAGCTTTTGTACGTCGTGGTCCCTTTCAGCGCCGTAAATAGGGTCTCGACGCCTTATCTCGCCTGCAGGAGACGCCTCGAGAAGGGCTGCGGAAGATAATTTATAGGTTTTAATTACTCTTCATTCCGCCTGATCAGCTTGGCGTTCATCACAGGCCTGTGAATAAAACCCTGGTCAAAAGCTCTGTCACATCGCGCTGGCAAGCCGCTTAATCAAAGCGAGCGGCCCCGCGCACCGCGCGGCCCGGCTCCTCCGCGTAATTTCCAGCCAGCTGATAAAGCCAGCTGAATAATGCGGCGGCCCTTTGGAGACACCATTTACAGAAATGACTTTATTGACGGCTTAACGTCGGTAATTCATTTTACCTTTCATGTAGTGGAGCCCGGATTTGTTACAGTAATGGGATGATAAATGTACTCGCGGCCCACGAGCGGGCCTGGATTAGGAGGTGCTCTGCGCGCCGGCTCGTCCCCCCCCTACCACCACCAACGTCCCCCACCAACCTCCTCCTCCTAGACCTGGCCTGGGCAGGACGACCTGTACCCACCCCCGCACCGCCCCGCACTTCACGACCCCCACCCAGGCCCACCTACACCCTCCTCCAGCCTGCAAAGCGACGTTCCCGCTGGGGAAGTCTGCTCAGCGAGTTGGCGACCGAACGGGCAAGGCTGCGGAGGGGAGATGTTAGGAAATCTGGTTTGGGCACGTGTGTTGGCCGAGAGACGTCTGAGTGAGGAAGTCCTGAGGAGTCTGAGTGAGCCCCGAAGCTGGGCTGCGGGTGAGGCACGGTGGGGTGGGTGTGTGGGGGTGCTGGGAGGGTCTCAGGCAGCAGTGTGTGAGCAGTGGGGTTGAGTTGCCTGCGCAGGGACCTCGGCGGGCGGGCGGCGCACGTGTGGGTACGTCGCCAGCGCCCACATCCTTTCTAGAATACTCTTGACAGTCTTAGGTGATTAAGGGAATTCTTCCGTCCTGATGAAATGCCCTAACTGGGATGGTGGGGGGGCTGAGAAACCTGGGGGAGAGGAGGTGAGGAAGAAACCCCTTCCTCCAGACGTCATTTGCTTGATTGGGGGAGGGGATTGCCCAGGGGGAAACTGTGCACATTCCCGGGTGAGGGGCTCTGGTGTGGACTGAGCCCCATCTCTGCTCTATCTTCAGTTCATTGTCCCCAAATCCCCTTTTCATACCTAGGCCAGATAAAAATGGAAAATGACATGGAAGCGGAAGATTTTGTTTTGTTTTAAATATGGACGAGGGGAGAAGGAAGACTGTGGTTTCTGTTTCTGGCTTGAAAAAAGAGGTTGAGGAGGCCTTTAGGGGTGAGAAGGCTGGCAAAGTGGATGAGGAGAGGACTCCCCCCACCTGCCACACTCCTACCCCTCTCCTATGCCTAGCCCACCCCAATTCTGGGAGGACAATAAGTGTTTCTACCGGTCTGGGTGGAATTGGACTGCAGAGCCAGGAGCTACTAGAAAAGTTTGGAGGGATACAGTAGTAAGGGGGTGGGGGGCGCCTTTGCTTCTCCCCATTCCCAGTCTCCCAACTCCCAATCTCGCTGGGGTGACTTAGTGAATGTCCCTGATGGCCAGTGGGGGCTAGGGCTTGTATTTGTGCCTGCTCCTGAGGGTCACACCCAGAGAGGGAAAACCAGTACATCCCAGTGAGGCTGGTGTGAATCTGCAGAGGGCAGGAAGTTCCCGTGGGGGTCCCCAGCCAGCTCCAACCTCTGGAGGAGAGAAACGTGTTTGTTGCGAGTTTGGGGAAGGGAGTTCCTTACTAGCCTGTGTTTCTGGCCAACTCTGGGTTTTCCTTTAAGTGGAGACAAACGTATCTCTTCTCTCTCTCCTGTCTCGCCTCTCCTCTTCCTCGCTCGTCTCTCCTCTCTCATCTCCCTCTCTCCCTCTCTCTCTCAGAAGGAGGATCGCAAGAAGAGCGAGGGACAGTCTGGTGGTGCGCGGCCGCAGCGCGCCTCGGGCCGGCCGCAGGAGCGTGTTGCCTGCGCACGGTGGTAATCGCATTTCCAGCGGAGATCAGATGGCGCCGGGGCCTCGCGGTGCGGGACATGAATGAGTTGTCGCCACACAATAGCGTGCAGCCTTCCTACGGGGACTGGGTGACCAGCGGTTTTGTTGGGAGTGAATGCGAGGAGATTTCTACTCCGAGTGTGCGGTATTATTATGAGCAGGAAGGTCAGACTCTACATCCTAGGTCCCCAAAGCCTCGGGCCACGTCATTGTACCTGACAGCCCCTTCAATAGACTAATTCAATTAGTGCTCGCGGTTTTGGTCTTCATTGGGAGGCCG